TTAATTAATTAATATTAATAATAATAATAATGATAATAATAATAATAATAATAATAATAGCAATCGCATGTGTAAAAGAGGGATGTGGAGACCAATAGGGACGTGCAAAAGTTTACCGTTCACGACAACAATCCTAGACATTTTCCAAGAACTTAGAATATTTACGATCCGATTTTTAGATCTCGACTAGGCTAGCTAGAATTTTCTAGAATTCATTTTCATCGCGAACGGGGCTTCCATTTCGCCTCCGTTTGGAACTCTAAGAACGCGTTTGTAATTGCGTGAAGTGATCTTAACACATCGAGGATCGAAACACTTTGATTCATTTAAAATTAAGAAAAACGAAAAACTGTCCGTTTCATAATTACATTACGCAGAACAAAGGCGCACGGATCAAATTTGTCTTTTAGAAAATGCTTCTTTGATTTTCTTTTTTTTCCTTTTACTCACGTTTGGGAACACGGAAGTATTATAATACATTTTTCTTTTTTTTTTTTTTTTCATCGCGTTGTAAACTCTTTGAAAATTTCTCCGACATGCGTTTCTCTCAGGTTCGTACAGAAATAAACAGTATGACGACTTCCCGAAGCTCTTTGAAATTTCATTTCTGCTTTCTGCAATAAAAGGAGATCCTCGATGCATCAAGAACATCTAAAGGGCGGCGAATAAAAGAAGGAAATGACCGCGTGGCTGCTCTGTTTTCTGGCGCGCTCTGTTTAAAGTTCCTTCTCGAGCTTGATCAGCTCGGCGATTCCGTCATGCATCTCCTTCACAGCCTGATATTCCGTCAGACCGAGACGACGTTTGTTAGAGATGTCGTAGATGCCACCTTCGGCCTCGGTGTGCTCTCCGCGAGTACCACGGACCTGGAGATTGAACTTTCCAGCGATTTCTTCGAGTTTCTCTCTGTTGGCAGCCAGTTTCGGCAGCTTGATGTGCACAGAGGCACGGACTGTAGTGCCCAGATTGGAAGGACAGAAGGTCAAGAAACCAAGACGATCGTGATGGGAGAACGGAAGTCGTTTCTCGATCTCGTTCACGGCGCTCACTAGACGACGGTAGACCTGCAAGATGAAAAAAATTAATAAACATTCTTTCATCATAGAAGGATTTTCTTGTTTCATTGATGATACGTATATTACTGCGGATGTAGATGCAAAGGTATATCAACAAAATTTGCCTATCAGAGCTGAAGATAAATAAAAATTGTAAAAATATTCTCACCTGTCCAAGATCACCGCCCATCTGCATCGAAATGATACGAAGATGATCTTCCTCGTTGCACCAGACCAAGAAAGTTTTGGCGTCGTTGTGGAAGATACCACGGCCAGTAGGCCAGAAGCGGCAAGCATTGGCGGCTTGCAAGAAGCGATCACCTTCTTTGAACAGGAAATGATCGTCGATTAACTTCTGTTGGACTTCCTTGCTCATGCCGGTCAAAGGATAGAAGGTTCCCTTCAGTTCACCCTCCAAGCCGGACAGAGTGCTGGAGACTTTCTCTTCCATTTCTTTGTATTGAGCTTCAGTTAGGCATGGATTGAATGGATAACCTTCTAGGGAACGGCCGCATCTTACACGGGTGGAGACGATGAACTCACCCTGGAAAGGATAAGTACTTAAATATTAGGCATTTCGGTTTACAAGTCAGAATTCTTAATACTAACGGCTGGGTCAAGGTTGCCAAGAGTGTCGACATCTCCGAAGTCTTTTGGTGGATGTTTGTCAGTCTTTTTGAAGCCGCCATGGTAGTCCTCGATGATGGGGTCGAAGAGGTCAGCGAAAACCGTGTAAGCTTCAGCATCAGGGGCATAGATACCAACGCCAGAATCCAGATTCTCTACACCAGACTGGATGACATCAAGAAGGCTGGAGTCAAAGGAGGTTTTCCTCGTCTTAAGTTGATCAAAGACCTCCTTGGACAAACATTTCTTCAGCAAAGATTTGCTATCAGAAGCAGCTAATTTGGAGAAGCCAGCCTCCAGTTTGTCCAGAACTGCCTGATCAACCATATTGCTGTTTTTCTTGCTGCAAACGATTAAGACACACACTTTGAATTAAATATCCTTTAGAAGAACACACAACATAAAGAATAATGTTCAAAGACATTACTCATGAAAATAGAGTGAAGTATTTTTATTTTGAAATAAACTAATCCTTCTCTATTTTTTCCTTCTTTTAAATTAACCAGTGTAAGAATAAAATCGTAAGTTGAAAGTTTAGCATTGAAAAATCATGAATGCAAAATATAATGCAATACAATGAAATTATAAACCTTTTAAGGGTATTTGTATTTCATGTGAGACAAAAGAGTATTAAATAAAGTAAAAGTTTCTTTTTCTTTGCAGGTCGATACATAATGATTCTCACTGTACTGGGAATCGATTATGTTACAGGTAAATGAAATTTTCTGTGACAGTGTCGTTTGATTTCTTATCAGTGTAACTTTATCGTGGAATATTACGTGTTTGTTTGCGCGTATTATTTGCATCAGATAGTCGTAAAACGATTGTCCGTGTTATCGTGATGGAATATATTTCGAGATTTCATAAAATCCCTTGTATTGATATATGTAGTATCTGTTTTGTACAGAAGTAGGCTTAACTTTTTATGTACATGCGTGTCATAAAATTCGAAAATCTTTTGATTGAATTGACGATAAACGACAGAATAGCAATGCAAGCATTGAAGAAGATTTCAATTGCTGTGAAATAGCACTTGACTTTGAGTATTTCTGTCATTTTATTCCCCCTGTTTTCTTATTAAAAATATTTGAAAACATTAATTCACATTATCGAATTTTGCTCGGATATTTCAGTTTTAAGATTCAAGTAAGAAATATTTCAGAAAAGATTCCATACATTTTTGTTTCTCTAGCAAAACAATATATAAATTACGTTCATTTTTTCAACATCACGCTAGAGTCTTTAACATTCCAGACTCTAGGCAGTTAAAAATGTTTAAATGATTAGAAAAGAAAAGAAATTTTGCATCTAATCGGGGAACGACCTTATTATGTATCTGTCCTTAAAACATCCCCTCTAACATTCATTGACCATTCCTCTTTGAGACATCCTGCCATATGTATAATATTTTGCGTAACATCAGCCTCGTAATTGAAGTTTTGCAACTCTCTAGCAGGCTCCACAATCATAAAACAAACTTGTCAACTACGAGGATGCTCCAACAAATTTCCACACGTTACTCTCCGTATATTAATTACTATAATCGTAATTAGTCACAAGTTTTCTAACTTCATCTGGCAATGAAGGAAAAGATATGGTAAAAAGGAGATCTGTGTAAAGGAGAAGTTCGAATCGAATCTTTGATGTTACTCACTAAGTTCCGAATAGTTTGACAGTTTGCCGAGAGATGAAATTATCGAGGAATCGGGCCAATGATCTCGTAAGGATATCCTTTGATACAGAGGTTTTAAGGAGCTTATGCGAGCCCGACATCGAGGACTCCACGGCTGCCTTTTGTCAGACTGCCTTACGCGCAATTTTCGATTGTGCTCTCCCTTGTAAATCGAAAGGATTCATCGTTACTCGCGTTTGCTAGAACTAGAGCTAGAACGTAGAGATTGTTGAAACACCATCCATGGTGTGGACTTTAAATGCGAATGAGAATAACTAGCGTAGTTCAAGCACGTATACGACTAAATACAAATACAAAAATATTAATACGTGTTAGTATATAATAAGGTTACGAAATTTTTGGTACCTTAGAGACACGTGAAATTTGTAGAGACCAGTAGAACAATAGTAGAGATTTTGGAAAATTTTCATAAAGGTAAAAAGTTAAGATAAAAATTCAAATTTAGTAAGAAAGATGAATATTATATATATGTTAAAAACATCTTAGTAATAAGTAATGTTAATTAACTTGGATTTAGAATTTTATGAATATTTATTACTGTTTATTTTATTATTATTCACTTTTTAAAATAACATCTTGATGAACTTGATGAAGTTTGAAGTTTATTTATACTACCATCTATAGCTATATTATTTTATTTTATAGATAGAAACTAACTAACTAATATGATAATGCACATTAAATTCAGCTTTAATGGTTTGCTTCTTAACTCGATGCTTATTCCTCAATAATTTCTGTGAAAACGTTGAAAAGCCTATCTCTCATTTAGCAGAATTTGAGATAATAACATCGATAATTAACGATGCATCGTTGCAAGACAAAATTTTGACGTAAAACGATATTACAACATATTAATAAAATATATTCCTTTGTAACAGTGCTGTTTTCCAAGGTGCCAAATATATTTGCTCAGAATAATTAAATATTTAAATATTGAACATGCAATTAAGTAACAATTCTAAATTTTATAGTTTTCAGAAACATTCAGAAACTGTTCTGATTAATTATTTTGAACAAAATGCATTAGACGATTAATCACGTAGGTGTGTCTCGTGGTTGGTGCACTATATTTGAAACACATAACGTTTCGCTCGAACTTTTCTCTGTTACAGTAATATTATTATACATTGAATATTAATTGAAATTGAAGCTTAATTGTGTTTAAATTCAATACAATATTCACGAGATTCTTTTTTTTTTTTTTTAATAATTAAAACAGTAGTCAACGACATTTTAACGTTTCATACTTGCAGAAATTGTGATATTCTGTATCTATCAAACAACAATCATGTCGTTTGAACTGATCGCGATCTAATCACTTAATGTTTTACAACTCATGTGAATTTGTTTGTTTTCACAATGTATACTTTGACTCGTCCTCACATAATTTTCACTATGTTCAATTTTCCTTTCCTTTTAAAAACTACGACAATTCTCATCTTCATTTTTAAAAGTTAAACGAGTTCCTCGTTACCAGTGAACTAAATCCTTTTTTCTTTACAACATCGTCATTTTCAGCTCGGTCAGATTGGTCAACCGTCTGAGCGATCCGTGCGATTTCGCGGAATTTAAAAAGTTTAAAGGAAAAAAACGCAAAATAGAGAAAGTTCGAGCGAGAGATTGCAGTATGCACATTCGGGTGAGGTAAACGGTTAGCCTTTCAGCCGACTGGGAACACTGTGTGTTGTTCGCAGTGCAATCAGCAAATACGTACTCGTCCTCGTCGGCGACCGTTTCGTCCGACGATTCGCATATGCCCAGCGACGTGCATACGCCCATTGTCGACGATTATGCCTCGATTATCGCCCCGGGTTATGCGTCTATTTATAAGCGACACGAACAGTTAACGGTCGATCCTCTTTTTCTCTTATAAAACCGTGCATCCGTCGACGACGACGACGACGATCACGATGGCCACGGATGACGAGTAGGGAGAAGAACTCAGGCGAGCGCTAATCGCAACGGTGTTGTCACTCGACGTCCACGAGGATCAGGATGATCGCGCGATCTCATTGCACCTTCCCTCCTCCCTCGAGTTTTTCCCCGATGCTACGTGAAAACAGACTTTCAGACGCGAGATCTTTCTTGCCTCACTCTCCTCTTTGCTCTTCGAAACGAAGCTTTACCCACGGCAAATTAATCAATTTCATCGGGTCGGCGAGCTGAGAGAATTTGTGCGGATTTCCAACGTGACAAGTCGGTTGTTTTTCTGTCTTTTTTTTTTTTTTTCCTTTTTTTTCGTTCGTTCGATCGGTGCTTTTTGACGTTGCTGAAATTTATGCAGTTGGTGCCTTTCGTTTGGTTCGATCGATTGAAAAGCATCCGTGTGCCGTGAGTTTTTGATCACAATGTCCAGGGCAGGCTGTTTATTCGATTCTTAAAAAATTATGATACTTTATATACTATTATATATTATTATGATATTTATATTATTTCTATATGTTTCGAAAAGATTGTGATTACTATAGTGAGATTTCTATAGGAACGCGTTGTGAAAAATCGTTGATAAATCGTGAAACATAAACATATATATATTTATATATCGTGTATGTAAAAACATGAAAGTTGAGAATTGTCATCACGGTGATGCCTAGATGCGTTTCAATCGATCATCAATGTTCCATCAACTTAATAAAGAAATAAAAATACGATAATGAACGATAAGATATAGATGATGTTAACAGTCATTTTAGCTTAGAATTTAGATCCAGAGATTTATACATTCTGGTGTATAAATATTGTTTAAAATTGAAGATACTTAAGAAAAGAAAGAAGAGAATGTACTCGACTCGACAATGAATTTTGTTCGTCAATATTAAAAATAATTGTATGTCAGTATTGCGACAATTGACTAAGACTGTTACAATTAATTATAATTAATAGCTCAACATGCTCGAAACACCTCTCTTAATCATCTTTACACACATTTATCTGACAAGTAGTGTCTTGAACTACTCTTGTACGTGCCTCATGACTTGCACTCTTATGCTTTCAGATAATATCTTTAGCCATATAATTTCAAGTAATTCTTTTGATATCTTTGATATAACGAACAACTGTGAACAGTGAGCATCTTTAGCGTGATCTGCTAGCGCCTTTCTAATTTATCTCGTCGTATCTTTATTTAAATATATTCAGACTACTATTCTGTCATCTTGAAAATTTGAAAAAATGAAAATTACTAGAATAGAGTACACAATCCACTGCAAATATTAAATCTCAATAAAACACTTATTAAGGAACATTCCAATTTTTCATCCTTTGTAATCGAACGAAAACCACGGAGAAGAGAGTTAAAAATCGTTTCAGAGAAAGGTCTTTGAAACATTTCTCCAGCGAGCATATTTTATTCCGAAAGAGTAACAAGGGACACGAAGTGAACATAGACCGATATATCGTGCGAAATGCAAATAAAATTTTTCAGTCGACCTGCTTCTCGTCCACGCCCCTGCATAAGGCCAGAGGGTTAACCCTTTTGTGTGAACCAACAGGGGTAGTGGTCCCTAGCCACTATAAACGTCGGCTACACTCCTTTATAAGGAACTTGAGAGAACCGTTCGAACAACACACTAAACCAATAAAATGAAATTTAAAAAAAAAAAAAAAAAAGGCAGAAAGAAGATTTCAATTTGATATTTCACCAATAATCGCTAATTACTAATTAACAAATTTCCTTTCAGAGCGCAATAAAATGCTAAAAATTAAACGAAATAAAGTTTCTTTATTACTCAATACGAACTTTCAATTGGCATTATTGAACCATTGAGAATTATGAAAATTTTCTGGAATTGTTCAAAGCCTTATTAGCAACTTCTGTAACAGAGAATATAAAGTACAAAATTTAAATTTTAATTATCTAAAATTTCGTTACTAACAGTCATAATGGTAACGATGCTATTTGTACAAAATGGTTCAAACCAATTACAGGCGAATAGAAAAACGGTTTCTAATTAATTTGCATTTGACTAATGAAACTAACTCTCTAACATAATAGACGCTAAAAGTTTTAGTCGAAAGTGATCTTTGGCCTGTACGTCAAACTTCGGACGACATAAACTCTGTTGATGGTTCGATACCTAAAGTGTGGGAAACTTGAAGGATAATGAAGTCCTGAGTAACCAAGGTTGTAAGCAAGGTTTAACGATCGAGTGATGGGAACATCGCTGATAAATAACTCGAATCGAATCTGACTTTTTCACAATATAGAAATTACTACGAATTTTATTTTTATAGTAAACCATTGCTACTTTTATAGTTTACCATTATTATCTCATTTTAGAAAAAATTTTCTATTTCATGTATTAATTATTTAATAATGTTTTATCAGCAATTAGTATTTAAAGATCTTATAAAATGATCCTACTTCTTTGTTATTTTGCTACTTATACAGAGAGAATATATTTTATCTTGGAAATCTTTTCTCTTCATAAATGTATACCATTGAAAAGATACTGCGTGTTTCATTCTACCAACATAATAGAAAGAACTTTGGTTTTGCTTTATGATGCAAATTGAATAAATAATTTGTCAACATTTAAAAAAAAAAAATCTTAACTCTTTCAATACTGAATTTTTTTAAATGGAACGAAAGATTTTGAGACAATTTCAAATTGAAACGAAATATGTTCACTACTTAATTTAAGTGTGACGGGTTGAAAAATTTCTATTCTTTTATAGTTATATCTATATAATAAATAAATTTCCTACCATATCTATAATAAATTTTTATTGAAATACCGTTCCTTGTGATATAACAAAATCAAAAAGAGTAACAGAAATATTTCACCAATTTTCCCGCGGCATGTGATAATCACGTACTCCTATAAATGACTCATCTCTAGTGCCCGATACATTAATTACGAATTCCATGAATGTCTGATCTGACGTTCGACTACGTCACTAGGCGGGCACCGAGCCAAGTGACGTCACCGACAAACCCTTAAACCGACTCGCACGCTCGCATAATTCACCCTAAATACACCATTTCCCCGAAAAATTCGAAAGACTTGATTTCTAAAATTTTATACAGAAATAAACTTCCAGTGAACTTAACCTAATCTAAATCTGATTGCACACACGCACGCACACATAATTGATACGAGCTCAGAAGCCAAAGTGATCAAACTCTAGTTTTTGTACATTTAGTTTTACTACACAGAGAAAAGAAGAACGGTGTATATATTTTTCTGGTTTTCAATTCATGGAGTCAGATCAGTGTGTGACTTCTGAACCAGTTTGCACGCCATCTCCTCTCCAAGCAATCAAAAATTTCTGAAATTAGTCTCTGCTAATAAATTCTCTTCATCCACAGGGAATACGTACTCGTCGTTCGACGTGGTATCCTTGGAGGTACATCCGCCCATGACGACGACGACGACGACGACGACGACGATGACGACGCCCTGGCGAGAGAGACAGCGAACGAGAAACTGACAGAGAGAGCGGTAAACCTCGTGTGTTCACCTCTCGATAATCGAACTTCACCTCTTCACCACCACGTTTCTCCTTCCCCGACGTCCTGTAGGAGGATCTTCGAGACCGGAAGTTCACGGGAGGGAGGAGAGAGAGAGAGAGAGAGAACAAGAGAGGGTGTGGGTGGCGGCACACTTCCTCGACGAAGCAAGATGGACGGAAAATGAACGCGTGTTAAACACGGTGGGATACACGCTATATTCGTGTGTATAGCGTGTGTTTCCAAGCACTTCCGGTTGTCCTTGGCGTCGACGGAAGGGGACGAGGGGAAGGAAGGGTAGTCACCCCTGGCAGAGAGTCAAAGGTCGTGTGTGTCTTCCCGATCGTTGTCCCCTTTCACGGGGGATTATCCCGTCAAAATATTCTGCTCGCGAAAATCAATTGTCTGACAATGATCGGAACATCGATTTCGCGGTCTCTCTTTCCCTCTTTCCCCCCCCCCTCCCCCTCTATTTTTATTCTCATTAATATCGCCCGTACAATTTAGTTAGAGATATTATAAATTAGTAACTGGTAGACTAGCGGACATGCTGGAACATTGTTGGTATATACTACACGAATGTATCAGTTAATTTAGATATTACAAATGCAGAGATTTTTGACGATGCACTGTTTTCGAACTTCTGCCGATTTAAATTAGCGGATTAGATTCTCTCTAACTGTCCTTGAACGGTGCAGTTCCGGTTGCACTGGCTGACTAGCGTAGTACGGAAGGTGCTCTCACGGAATCGTGCTATACCCGGGGTTATTATAGACCGATTGGAAAATTGATTATTCACGTTAAGTACGCGATGATCCTTGCTCGTAGAGGATTAAGGTTAAAATCCTGATTATCGTAAGAAACGTTTAAGAGCTAGCGCGAAGGAAAGAAATGGCGAAAAAAAAAAGAAATGGCAACAATCAAGATCAATGCTTTGCACGCTATTATTATATCTTTCTTGGTTGCGGATGAAAATGAAAGCGGATTTTACGTGTGTCCCGGGGAACCCTCACGGCCGTCAATCGATATCGAGTACGCAAACGTGTAGAAATTCTCTCGACTTCCGGTCGAAAAAGCTTTCGCGATCCTTTTTCTGGGGCTCGGACCACTCGAATAATACGTAGCAGTGTAGTATGACAATACGAAAATGATAGGTAAATGATGAATTATCAACTCGTGTAATATTTCGATAGATCAGCCAGTACAATCAGCGTGCGATTGGTACAAATCACCTCTTCTTACTCACCGTCTCGAAAGAAGGAAAGAGAATCCGAACGATCAGTCTGCGCGATTTGGCGAGAGAGATTCTTGTTAAAAAAAAAGACCACCTTTTAAAAATTGATCACAGTCGTTAGGGATGTGTTTTATGTGGTCGTTGTTCTCTCGAAGGTAGTTAGTGCTTTTCCACACGAGAAAGAAATATCCTTTTGGTACTTTATTTCTTTAT